TTCATTATCTATGAATGAATGGACAAGCACGTTCGGTTAAGTTAACTAGTCCGAAAAGATAATTTTCAGCGAATCTAAGACAGAAGCGGCTATCTACTAGATGGTGTAAAATTATCAGAAAGGAAATAGAGAGCCTGTCCTTGCTTTTGAGAGGCATTACATGGTAGTGAAACAAAAAAGAAATACTGCTTCCAATGAGCTATAAAAAGTGAGAATAATGATAGATAGATTGTTTGCGATGGTTGCTCTAGCCATATTTTTACATTTGGCGCTGAGGAGCGATACGAATCTGTATCAGGACTAGAGTCTATACCAATCATCACAATAAATTGCTGTATTTGTGATCACAGAATAGTAATTTCAATAAATAATTGCATAGAAGGGAGAGATAATGTACATTAAGAGAAAGTTATGTAGCGCTTAATTTTCTGACATCATCTTTGAGCAAGGGATAAAGATAGAAGAACCATAATTGAGTTCATGGTTATTCTGTGTATAGAGAAAAAGCAATATCAAAAAATAGAGCTGCGCTAAGATCATTGGATATTTGAAAAATGATGCAATGGTGACATATTTGTAGCACCGAGGCTAAGACTATTAAATGAGGCCTTGCAGATATCTCAAGTTCCGGACGTATTTAGGGGCCTCCGAATAGCGATATCTTCTTCTTCGTCTTCTTCGTCCTCCTCTGAAAAGGTCTTCTGATCAGCCGGCATGTATACAACTTGTGGATGCCGGCTGTCAGGAAGGACCTTCCAGTGTCTAGTCGCTGCAAGTGAACCTATATTACCACCGCTGCCCCCCCAATTGTTAATAGCGTCACGACCGCCTGACATCGATTCATTCTCTTCACTATCACTGGTCGGCTGCGATAATACAGATTCACGAGGCCCAGAGACTACGTAACCTGAAGTAGCAATCGCAGCAGCCTCAACTGTTGCAGCATTGGGTACAAGTTTCTGATCGCAAGAAAGTGAGGAAGAATGAAAAAGATTGATGCATCGAGGGGAAATATGACGCCATGCCTTGTGACTCTTTGAAAGATTGATACTTGTACTACTAGCGGCAGCCTCAGAGTCACCGGAAAATGCCTGAGCAAGAGATGTTGGAGCGAGCTCGCTTGTAACAGGGATAGCTTTCCCAACACGTGATCGCCGTTTATCAAGGTCCAGGCTGTATTGGCTTAGGCAGTGGCTCCGCAAGCGCCGAACAGGGCTGTGCTGAAGCTCGATTGATTCTTGTCCACCACTTTGGCCACTGTTGCTAACGGCATTGACCCCACTCCTATGGCCAGATCGCGGAAGGCAATTGCGCAAACGATTAGCCAGGTAGAGATGAAGGGAGATGAAAAGGAAGGCCAAAAGAGCAAAGATACCGGAAACGATGAGCAGAGCAAGGCGAGAAGGTCGTGCTGAAAGCCAATCAATGAGCCGATGAAGCCGACCGGATCTGATGCCGGTACCGGGGCCGCCAAGGGGTAAGTCGTGAGGCCCTTTGTCGTCGTTTACGGATGTTGGTGAGCTCAGCTCCCCACCGTCTACATCCTTCCAGGTGAGGCAAGTGGCTATAACAAAGAAGAGTTATGCTGAATGACAGTGACTTCATAAGCGAAGGCCGGACTGGGCTAATTATATTGGTGCAATTTCATTTCACATCCAAATCCGGGAAAGATTATTCGTAAGTTTTTCTCACCGGTAAATGAGTGAAGATTGACTTAGAAATTTTATTGTCGATTTGAATGTGATAGTTCTTGAAGAATCGTCCTTCGAATCTTTGTTGAGCCCTCGCCCGCACTGTGACACATCGCCAGTACTTTTTAAAATAGGAACTAGAAACTCATAACTGCAAAGCAATTCTTGGGAGCTATGATGAGATCAACCTGGAAATCCCCTCCCCCGTTCAATAACACCAAAACTGGCATCAATAGAAATGTTGGGAGTAAATTGATATAAGATAGCAATGTAAGTTAATCTAGCTTTTTTACCATGAAGTTAGCCGTAAACAAATCTAAGCTCAATCATGTTAATAAATATATAAAATGGCATCGGATGGTTGAACTTACTCTGCCCAGAGAGGCAAAACATGCAGTCGACGGGCTGATGCGTATCGAAAATACGATAGGATGGACAGCAGGGGATGCATGAGCCATGAATAGAGAGCTCAAGGTTACCGGTCTCAGATGCCGATTGGGTTAAGCATCCATGAACTCCACATAACCCTCCAGACTCACTTTCAGCTTCTACGTCGCTATCGCTGTCAATTTCGCTATTCGAATCAGCATTCCCTTCAATATCTTCCAGCCAAAGACAATTGGCAGGGGATGAACAAGTTAAACAGCTGGAGGCATTACTGGAAGTGCAGCTGGCACAACTGGGATGGCAAGGATGGCAGCTCTGGTTATAAAAGAAGATAGTTAAATGGAGATTAACAGTAAGCATTAGATGCTGCTTCATATCTATCGATCTATACGAATTTAAATTTACCATTGCAAGCTATTTCCAGTGAAAAAAACTAATAAAATTTAAATCAAGTCATAATTAATGATAAGTTATAGAAAAATACACGGTGATACTGGATGCCATCTGAAGTACAATTGGCATTCGAAAGGATGACAAGGAAAAAAGCTACATGGCATGACTAAATTTTCTTAGATCTAATTGATGTGGTAGGATTAAGTCATTTTGGCAAGGCTTCTAATATCTTTAAGAAATTATGAGTTTAATATAGATAAGACAGATTTCATGGGGCCTAATTAATCAAATTACGAGTTAGACAATTTTTTACTATGCCCTGGTACTGTTTACAATTCAACTAGTCTAAGACAACCGTTCTGTATATTTAAGCAGTTTGAGAGCATCTAACTCGAGTCCACGATCAACACTTGAGACTAGCTTACTATAGGGCATATTAAAAATTATAGGCAGAAAGTAAAAGTGCCTGATTAACTCAAGTCCAGAATAATTCGGGTTTCCTACGCTCGACAAAAGCA